TCTTCTTCATCATCAGAGGATTCATCATCAGGGTCTGCCTCAGAGGATTCATCAGCACTAGAACTCTCACCTTCCCATTATATTACTCCCACTTTGGCTCTAAGGATTGGGAGGAGGTGGGGGGTATTGGGGACCAAGGTCAATATACAACCCTTCCTCATCAACACCCACATGCTCATTCATTGGGTTTGGGTTAGCTAGGTATTCAGGTTCAGCAGATTGAGTGTGTGTGGCATGGCTTGGTTCTGCTAAGCTTGGACAAACAATTGAAGGGGTGAATGGGGGTTTAACAGAGTTCATAGTGCTGCCAGAATCCCAATCAGGAATCATAGGGGGCTCACTACTTGGGCTATGATACGCAACAGTCAACAAGCAGCATTTGGAAGCCTTATGTTTTGCAAAAATTTCAACCAAATCTTGGTCAGTGCAGACTTGGATGTTCACTTTACTATCCATGCAGAAATAAAACAATCTCACTATGTCATCGTAGTTATGAGGATACTTGTCGACAACTTCAGCAACCAGGTCTGTGAAGTTAGTGCGGTCAGCATCCATGACTTTGTTCAACGAAAACCACCGCGCACGAGAATTGGGAGCAACAATCCGGATTTCTAAGTTGTAGCTACTTTCTACGTCCATCCTACTGATGAATAAGGAGCACGCAATCAACACTACAAACACGGGGCACAAACGCAGGGCACTAAATACCAATCAACATTACAAACACGGGGCACCACGAAACCAAAGGGGAAGCAGTGAACTCACTCGTCCGAAAGCCAATCCGGTCGCTCGCCCACGCCCTTGTTCCCCGCCATGCCATGTCTATCCTCTAGATCCATGGTTGAATCCATGCTGTAAAGTCAAGATGGCGACTAGAGGGGGGTGAATAGTCGTTACTAAATTTAATCACGTTGGCTAACCGAAACAAATGCGGAATTAAAATAATTTTGTCTAGCCAAGACTATACCTCTCTATCAAAGTTCACAAGCACCTTATAAAGATCCTAGTTAGGCAACAAAGGTGTCAGGCTAGCTAGAGCTCACATATCCAATTCTAGGAGCAAGGTCACACAAACCTATGCCACTAGTATTTCAAGCAACGAGGAAGCTCCTACACATGCTAGTAAGCAAAAGCACAAAGCCAACTAAGCTCACTAGCAATGCTCAATAACACGGCAACCAATGCTAAATTAGAGAGCGCAAATACTTAGCTACACAAACTATGTAATATGACTAACAAGGTTACACAAACCAAATTAGCCACGCAAGGGAGCTACTTCTATGCTACACAAGCTAGAAGATAACTAGCAAGCTACACAAGCTAACTAATTACAAAAGCAACTACACAAGCACAATATATATAAAAGTAATTACAAGCTTGTGTAATGAGGATGCAAACCAACGGGAATACAAGGATGACACGATGATTTTTATCCCGAGGTTCATGTGCTTGCCAACACGCTAGTCCCCGTTAAGACAAGCTCCAAGGTTGTCGCCGGTCCTCTTGCTAGTGGTGACCCGCAAGTCACACTCTCCCACGTGGAGTGCTTACCACAAGCTCTAGCACTTGACCCGGCCGGACCACTTGTCACCCTTCGCGTCTCGTTTTACTAGAGTTGCTTTTCGCGGCTCCCGCGGGGCGAGCACAATGCACCTCACAAAGCTCTTCTTCGGAGCACCGCATAAGCTTCTTGTGGGCTTCGACCGAGACCACCACCAAGCCATCTAGGAGGTGGCAACCTCCAAGAGTAACAAGCACCACTGGCTTGCAACTTGATCACCTAGTGCCACTCGATGCAACCTCACGATACAATCGCACTAGAATCACCCACTCACTCAATCGGATGATCACTATCAAGCTAGAGTGAGTTAGAGAGCTCCCAATCACCACCACATAAGCCACCAAGGATTTAGTGTGCTCAGCTAACAGTCCAAGGCCGAGACCCCCTTCTATTTATAGCCTCCACGAAAATAGATCCATTGTACCCCTTCACTGGGCACAGCTCGGGGTGACCGGACGCTCCGGTCGTATCGATTGGATGCACCCTGGCAGCGTTCGATCAATGGATGCACGCCACGTGTCCCCTCCGTTCAACCTCAGTTGCTTGATCTCAACGGTCAAGTGATGACCGGACGTAGCACAGTGCCAAGACAGGACATAGGACCCCAGCGTCCGGTCACTTCTAGTAAGGTTCCAGTCACGACCGGACGCGTCAGTTTGATCATGATTGGACGTAGGACCTTAGCGTCCGGTCACTTCCAGAGAGCTCATAGAGCCGCTCAACTACGACCGAACGCGTCCGATCGATCACGATCGGACGCAGCATCAGCGTCCGGTCCTTCTCCTCTTCTTCTGTGTTGCCACATCAGCGGGACCGGATGCACCCACCCAATATCCGGTCACAAAGTGACCCAGCGTCCGATCAAAGACCGACGCCTGTGCCTTCACTGCTGCCACTGACTGGACACAGGACCCCAGCGTCCGGTCACTGCGTGACCAGCGTCCGGTGCACTCTATGAAACCATGTCTTTTCTGTACAAGGCGCCGGTGGCACCGTTTGACTGTCCGCACTTTACGGACGGACACTCCGCCGGTGAAGTTTGAACCCTTTTCGTTACCGAGTTGATCCACATCAACTCCAACTTCTTCTCCTTTGTAAATGTGCCAACACCACTAAGTGTACACCACCATGTGTATGTGTGTTAGCTTTTCACAAACATTTTTTAAAGGATTAGCCACTTAACTTGCCACACCACTCGATCCTAGCGACGATGCAAAGTTAGATCACTCGAGTGGCACTAGATGACCGATATGCAAACAAGTTTATCCCTCTTGATAGTACGGTCATCTATCCTAAACCCGGTCATCAACTTCTCTACACACCTATAACCGGTGAAATAAAATGCCCTAGGTTATACCTTTGCCTTGCGCATTCCATTCCATCTCCTCCATTGTTGATGCAACACATGCACCAACATGATCAACAATGATATGATCCACTTCATATCATCACGTGATCATATTGGTTCATCGATCTTGACTTCACTTGCTTTTCACCGTTGTCTTTGTCCATCGGCGCCAAGTCTTGCTCAAGCTTCACCGCCACATGGTCCATCGCTCCAAAGCCTCCGACTTGCCCTTCACGCTTGCAACCGGTCTATCAAGCCAAGTCTTGTCTTGATCTTCTCCACCTTGATCACATGACTCAATGTCATGTCTCATGTTCAATAAGCTCCTTCATTATCACATGTGTGAGCTTTGCAACATCTCCGAGCCATTTTCACCTTCATGGCATATGTTGCTCACACACATATACCTGTGGGCTAATCACATGTGTATCTCACATAAACACAATTAGTCCACCTAGGTTGTCACTCAATTACCAAAACCACACAAGGACCTTTCACACGCTCCACTACCCCATGCGCCGCCACAAGCACGGGGGATTCGTTGTCTTCTCTCCCAGCCGCCGTCGGATCCGCCGCCGCTAGGATTAGGGAACTTAGGGAGTCGAGCGAGAAGAGAGAGTGAGAGACTGAGGGAGATGCCGATCAATATCGGTCAACACAGCCTCCACATATGCCCGTGACTGAAAGGGCAACATGGACATTTTTCCTGCCTGGTCCCACATGTAAGAGTTGCCAAACGGTCAAAACCAAATATAATGGTGATGGAATGGCGTGTTGGACAAAAGAGTTTAGCGTCATGACACCAGGGTCCGTGTGAACTTTTTAGTGACACGTAGGAATGGAGAATCTTTCATAATAGCACACAGGGAAAAGGCACTTTCGTAATTCACCAATTAAACAATACAAGAGACAAAGAGAGAGCTAGGAAATCCGAAATTCACTTACTCGCTCGACCAGGGAAGGAATGCCGGTGGGGTGGAGCGGCTGGTGCTGCGCCGGTCAGCTGATGTGGGCCGAACCAGCCTCGTCGCAGCGACTGACTGCCGATGCTGGAAGATTCTCGAATGGGGGCGTTAGGGTTTCGCTTGTCCAGGCGCGGGGTTATATAGGTGTGCGAAGGCCACATCCGGCCGTTGCAGCAGACACGAACAAAAGGCGCAGGTTGGACAGGGTGCGAGGCGGATAAGCATACTGGGCCGATGGGCCAGAGCGCATCTTTTTGCTGGTCCATCAACGGGCCTTTTTTTTAAGGGCCTGGTCTATTTGATGGGCTGGGTGTCAGCGGCCTGGTGTGCCAAAAGTGGAGTGTGCTTCTTATAACGATTTGTGAATAAATAAGAAAAGCTAGCTGATGGGAAACAAAAGTACCAAATAGATCTTTTCTCTCCGCTGTTAAGTAGAAAGAGTAAAAGGGAAGATCAAGATACGATAGATATATATAGGGAACCACAGCATGTCTACCCACGCATGCTAGATTGATTCGAATACAAGGACCATCTGAAATAATAACATAGTCTCATCTAGCGGAGCACACAAAATTTCTCAAACGCCAGATTCTAGAGGAACGCATCCAGGCTACTACGGTGTGGAAACAAAATTCACAGACGACAGGTGCTGGTGCGCCGTAAACACTACTGCAGACTTGCGGTCTTCTGGATAGAGGTACCTAGGAGACAGGTTAGCTGATCATGCAGGGTGGCCAATGATGCTGCTAGCTCACAAAGAGCCGATGCGTTGCCTGGTCTGCCGGTGATGACTACGCCTCCACGTCGGCGTTTTCTTCCTGAGGCTTTGATTTTCTCGGCGTCAGCAAGAGCCGAAGCGCTCTGACAAACAGAGTCAAACGCAGTTAGGAATTGGATCAGACCGACATGCTGCTTTTCGGCGGCCTGTTTGAGGCTTGCCACCTTGTTGTTGTCTTGGAACAGCATGACCCATGAATCAGAACGAAAGACATCCTTTTTTTCTGGCGAGTAACAGTAGTAGTGTTGCAGTCATCGATTTTTATGATTTTCTCGGTGTCGAGGTATTTTAGTTCTGAATGGATGCGTTCTTAGTGGATGCAAACTGGCCACGGAACTCTTTACTCTGTCAGTCGTAGGATTCTTTAGCTAGCATATTGCCAACTCGGATCGTGGTGACGAACGTGTCGTCGTCGATCCGGACTGTCTTCTCTGCCTCCACTGTAAGTCGGAGCTCCCTCGCGGCCAGACCAAATAGGTCCCTTCTGTTGACGGCGATGGTTTTCGGAACCTAGAGGAGGAAAGACGGACAGAGGATGGTTCAGCGATTGAGGTTTGAGGGCGCATATACACCGCCAAGGTCGGGAAAGGTCTTACCTTCGGGAGTCGTTCGTCGTCATCAGTGAAGCGGTCAGATAGATCGGCCTCAGTGGGATCCATGGCAAGCGCCGAAAGGGAATGGAGAGGTGGCTGGGGAAGAAGAACGCGAGATAGAGAAAGGACCTGGAAGCGGCGAGCCGTAGAGGATAAAATGGGTTATCGGATAGTTATCGAGGTGTCTGTGGTACAATTCCGCTGTCGACCAGCCATTGGGCGTTGGTATGCTGGCCGCATGTCAGGGACGGTGGCAAGTCTTGCACTGATGTCAATTGACCAGACGTGGACTGCGTAAGACGATCCTTGGCGATGCAGCGTGCACTCCGCCGTTCACAGCATAGAATCGAGTATTTCACGGTGTGTGTATATTGGTGGTGTTCTGGATCATGTGCAGAAAGGGAACTGTAAAACACCCGAAGAGATAACTTAAACGAAGCAACACTATGGAAGCTTCCCAATTTAAATGTGTTTAGCTGCACGAAGCAGAGGTCACAACTGGTCTCAGGGTCCGCGGTAACAGGCATAGCGGTATCTCGCGAGGGAAGTTTGCGAACAGAGGCAGGGTCCTGTCGCCGGCATCGGAACCGGTCTTCACCACAGTCAGGGCACGCATAGCGCATATATACAGGATAAGCCGCGCATGGCAAGCAGAATTAGAAGTTCTTCACGCCTAAACTCGGCACACAAGACGACGAAACGCCACCAGGCCGCAGCTTGCTCGAGACACAGACCACAACAGCAGCAAAAGCAGGCAGAAGTCTTCTCCGGCTGGCAAAATGGAGCCATTCCATCCAGGCAAAATAGGCAGGCCACGAGGATGAGATCCGGAAACGGATATATCGAGTATAAGAATCATCAACACATGCAAAGCAAGCCGGTACATTCAGCAACGAAGAACGCTGCGCACCTCGCCTAGCCACTCTCCTGTGCCAGAGCATTGTCCGCACGAGGCCGTTTCTTTTCAAGAACAGAGGCCTTGTCAGGCACAAGACTGGAGAGCAAATAAATGTAGAACGTTAGCAGGAAACATAACACATGATCACGTGTGGATGATGAGGATAGGTACGTACTGTTTCAGTGGTGTCTCTAGAGAGGCATCCACAATTGTCTGTGGCCCATCCTTTTCCTCGTTGCTATTCCCTAAAAGGCCATCCTGCGAAACAAAGGAAGCCACAGTAGGTGAGGTGTGCGGGATGAGATGATACCGTTTAAAATAAACTGAGGAAGTGCGCTGTTTTCATGTGAACCATGCCTGTACCTGATCATCACTATCATTGTCCAGCAGGAGCCTTTTGCGAGCAGAGGAGCCCGTAGAAGAATTTGTGCCTTTGCCTGGCTCGCTACAGCAGGAAACCACCAAGACAGGTCAATTTGTGACAGGGACAAACGCAAAGCCTGAGAGGAAAACAACAATTGATTTGTTACCCTGGCTGGTCTGAACTTTGGCTGAAACTGACTGAAAAACATTGTTCCGGCTGAATTGTTGTGAGAGAAAAACATTGTTCCGACTAAAAAAATAAGCCGAACAAGCCAAATTTAAGACAAACGAACGAGGCCCCTTTCTGGCTTTTTAGCGGCGGCGTGTTGCTCACATGGATAGTAGGGGGCGGAGTCTACAAAAGCAAACAGACACAATTATATCAAACAAGGGTGAGAAGACATAGAAAAGGTAGAAGGCAGTGGGAACCCTACACTTTCGAGCGACGGCGAACGAAGATCAGTGTCCTCCACACGACAAGGTGACATCTGTTCTGTATCTTCAGCACTACCCTCTCGAAGAGGCGCCTGGACCTGAGGACGATGGCTGGAACTACCACCATCCACAGCTGCAGGACCAGAGGGAGCAGCATTGCGCTGACCATAAGATGTGATGACAGAGGCAACCTGATATGTTTTCTGATGGCAATAATATCTTTGCTGAGTGAGGGTGACAGCGAACGTGAATCTCAAGGAGACTATCTTTGTAATATCTGGTGGATATGCATTCTGGGCTGTAACCGTTCTAAGAACTTGCTGAACTGGCTTTCCAATGATACGACGGGCAATATCTCCAAAGCATATCATTTCCGCTTCATCCGTGCCACATCAAGAGCGGTAAAGCAAATCTTGTACCTTTATGTTTCAGCAAAGAAACAACATGCATCAGTCATATGAAAAGAGGCAATATAGATTACTAAGAGGACATAGATGGAGTAGACATATACTTGAACTTGAACGACGTGTTGGAGCATGGGTTGCATCTGTAGCCAGCCCCATCTGGGACACAAGACTTGCTACACTTAGTGCATGACGGGAACCACCAGGATGCATTCGGGACAAGGCGTCCAACAGTGACAGTGCAGCGATATCCATTCTCCTGCCAAACCAGAATAGTGTTAGGAAGAAGCAAAGATAAGAGCAGCTGAAAGGACCTATCCTCCAGTTCTTACAGAAAAGTCGTAGGGATCCATCTCGTTTAGTTCTCGCAGTGTCTTGTCCTGTAGCTAAGCAGGTGTGTGTGACTGGCCTTGCTGGTCTACGGGCGCACGGACGAACCTTATATCAATTCTCTGGTCCTGCAGGCTACAGGGTAGTATGGGCAGATCAGAATAGACTGTGAGTGCTGGGCTATCCACACAGAGCCATGCACGTGACAGGGAAGTGAGCAGACCAGCGTACCTGTCGTGGAACAGCCGAGCCTCAGGCACGGGAGGGTTAAAATACCACCGTGAAGCTGTATTTGCGCTCAGGTAGTAGCCCTAAAAGCAAGAGACACATGAGCATGTTTTTTTCTAGAAATTCGGAAACCACAATAGGGCAAGAGAAGCGTGTTACAGGCTAAGGAAGGTAGAGGAGGCAACATACATTGATAGGACTTCATCAGACCTCCAACAAACAGCACAATAATCGGCTTTGCTTCAGCACGGTTGTAGACGGCATCAAGATTGAAAGCAGCAGCTCTCTGTCCCCATAGAGTGATCCTGACCTCAGAGTAACTGCATAGACCAGCGGAAATGTTATAGATTCAGCAGTGGCAAAGCCCCAAGCATGCCAGCAGACAGAGTGCAATGTGAAGGAAGAAACATAACCTCAGGTCTCTTAAGATGATGTGCCTGGTCAATGTAGGTGCAGGCTTGTTCGGCAAGCGAACCATCAGCCTGTTCATTTCGGCTGAAACGATCGTGGATTATTACTGCTGGTTGTTTTGGTGTGAGAGAAAAATACTGTTCTGGCTTATAATCCACAATCGTTTACGACCAAGCGAACAGGTTGTGAGTATCAGACACCTCAACCAGCAATCCAATGGTATCTGTAAGTAAATTTTTGTTAGGCCTAAAAAAGTGGAGAAGAAAAGGATCGGATCTTTTTAAGCTCACCGAGGAAGTTCCTTGTGTCACCAGCGTGTGAGGAGAGCTCATGGATGGGAGTTATCTTGTAGGCGTACTTTAGGAAGGCAGGCATATCGGTCCTTGCAGCGGGGAATGTTGTATGCAGCGTGAACTCAACCATGTATGGACAGTCAACAGGTCTATAACCAGACTTCGCATTTGAAACTCTGAAGCGACTGATGACATAGTTGCCATCTTCCTGCAGAAGCGGACTCTTAGCCTCCACCTCATTTCCTGGGATCTCACCATAGATGATGTTGCCCTGGAAACAGGTATAACAGTAAGCATGTAAGTATTTGCAGAGTCGATTATAACCTTTTGTTAATGGCCAGTTATAGTAATCACCGGGACAAACCTTTTCATCGAGAAGCACATGGTCAACATGCTGAATGGGGCCATCATCCGTTCCACCACGGTAATCCCACTTGCGGCAGACGCCAACACAGATCGTCGCATGCCATTGGCGTGGGCGCAGAGCCGGCAGCAGGTCAAAAGCCATACAAACACGTTCAACTAAAAATAAAATCCAACAACACAGTCTGAGCAGTATGAAAATTAAGTAATCAAAGGACAGCATGGTGAAGGGCAAAATTTAAACCTCTTGACAAATCCAGGATATATCAATGCCCTGCTTAAGATCTCAAAAAAAACTAATGCTAAAGCACTGAGCACACGCAAAGGAAAAGCAGCATGCGAAAGGCAGGAATAGAAAAGAATGTAAGCCAACATGCAGAGGACAACCGCTAGCCAAACCAGACTCCACCAACACATTTAGGCTACCAAAAGAAACAAAATCTTCTGTACCAAAAGCTTTCTTCTAGGCAGCCAGCACAAAAGGTAAGTATCTGCTGCCAGTCGACAAAAGCTACGCAGTGGCGTGACCTGAGGAGGCCGCCGAAAGTATTTCAGGGTAAACAATATTCTGCGTCTCATCTACGCATCTGCCATCGGTGTCTTCTATCAGTATCTTGAGGCCACACTTCGACGTTACTCTAGAAACAGCGACATATAACTGGCCATGGCTGAAAACTGGGCTCTTTAAGTAAACACCCACCTGGGACAGGGTCTGACCCTGGCTCTTATTAATGGTCATCGCATAGCACACTCTAACCGGGAACTGGCGCCTTTCTAAGACAAATGGCAGCTTGACATTCTTAAGCGTAAGGCAAATTCGTGGTATGAGGACAACACTCCCGCTATGTGTACCGGTCATTATCTGTGCCTCTATCAACATATCACCAAAACCAGTAACCACTAATCGTGTTCCGTTACATAGCTCGCCAGCCTGATCAAGATTTCTAAGCATCATTATCGGCACCCCTTTCTTAAGCAGAAGGCGATGCTGAGGGAAATTGTTGCCGTTCAAAGAGTTCAGGAATTCTACCGGATATAAGAGATCATAAGAACCGTGTGCTCCCGGGGACTTACCTATCTTGTCACAACTTAAGTACTCCTTCTCCTCACCAGGGACCAGAGATACCACATGTGAGTTTACAGTATCAGCAATCTCATTCGTTGGTGTCAAAATGGCGCGACTCTGGAGGTAGTTTGGATCGGAGTATCTGGTAACCAAATCTGGGTACACAGCATCGACGATGCAAGAAACCTTGTCCTCCTGTGGCATAAGCAGGAGGTCACGTGGTATCTTGATCCATGTCGCTTCTGTCTCACCCTCTTTCCTAACAGCATCAATCTTACCCTCTCCAATGTCCAACACCCAGCGACTAAATTCAGAGATTTCTTTTTGTGTTTCTAGATCCAGATCTGGCCGATAAAGTCTCATGTTCTTGGTCAAAGATAGAATTCTAACGTGCCTCCACAATGAAGAAATGGCAACAGCGGCATCTACAATCTGGGGTCTGCGACCGCCTTCAACAACAGGCAATATTTGTCTAAGATCGCCACCTAAAACAACAACCTTACCACCAAATACCAAATCCCGAGCCACCTCTGTCTCACGAGACAAGAGATCTCTGAAGGTTCTATCTAGAGCCTCAAAGGCATGGCGATGCGTCATCAAAGCCTCATCCCAAATGACCAGTGATGTCGACTCGATTAACTCGGAAAGCATTGACCCACGTCTGATATCACAAACAACACCATCATCTAAATCGCAGAGTATCTTAAAGCGAGAATGAGCAGTCCGGCCACCCGGTAAGAGCAGAGAAGCCACACCGGAGGAAGCAACAGTGAGAACAATTTTTTTGCGCGCACGCAGAAACGCAACAACAGCACTCCAAAGAAAAGTTTTTCCAGTCCCGCCATAACCAGACACAATGAAAAAGCCTGGTTTCTCTTGTAACACAGTCTCTGTTATCGTGTTAAAAGCAGAAAGCTGTTCTTCATTTAACTTGCCAACTATTATGTTTGCTTCGTGCATTAGCTTTTCACAGTTATACGAAAGTTCTTCTTCAATAAGCCTGTTACCAGAGTTATATTCTGAAGCATTGCTTTTCTGTGGAAGGTTACGGTCCCGGATTCTAGCCCCGTTACTTGAAAAAATGGATGCAAAATCATCAATTAGATGGTTCCTAAGCTCGACATCAGGAATCTGATACTGGTTATTGCCTATGATCTCTCTAAACCGGTACTGTATATCGTCAGCCATAAGTTTCCACACCTTTTCAAAAAAAGCGTTCTCATCGTTTACTTCGCAAAACAGGAGCATGGTAACAAAGAGCTTCCTAAGCTGTGAAGATGTCGCCCAGGCAGCAGCCTCATCGAAGGCGTCATACCACTCTTGATCGTCACCAAGTAAGCCACGACCACAACAAGCTAGCCTAAACGTAGGGTAAAGAACGCCATTGAATGTCCTAATATCTTCGTAGCTCTGAGCACCTCTTACCACAAGGAGCAGCATTCTAAGGAAATACCTCTCACCAGCAGATGGATGGACAAAGTATAACCGACCCACCTTACCACCATCTCGCTGTCTACCCTCCCAAGATCTTGAACTGCTATCCCACTTCCACTTGGAAGGGAATTCACAGTAGGTGAGATTTCTAGCAGCAAAATAGTTTTGGTTAGCCACGAACCACTCAGTCAACATAGTTTTATGAAGGAACTCCTCGGAAGCAAAGCCTGTTCGCTTGCTCGTATACGATCGTGGATTATAGGCTGGAACAGTATTTTTCTCTCACACCAAACCAGCCAGCAGTAAATAATCCACGATCGTTTACGACGAAACGAACAGGCTGACATCTGCTATGTCCGCATCTGCATCATACACTATACAATTGTCATCTGGTAGATGTGCAGGTAATTTTCAGAAGAGCGTACTGGTTACGCTCTTGAGCCCAGCTGCAGCGTGATGAGATAGCCAAGGACGCGCTCTCTACGATGAGCAAAAAATTGAAAATAATTGCTTTAGAGATATCCAATAAAGGATGAAAACATTTATACTATTTGAATTAGCGTCCGGGTCGATCTATAAGACTGGCTCTCTCTTTTTCCTCCAAAACTTTGTAATAATGGGTTGTGTACATCTATGGATGTAGAGGCCGGATATTGTTTTACCCATTATCTAAAACTAAAAAAAAGATGTACAGGCAGTCTCTCTACAGGCGGATGGTGTCTATGAATATCGAAGCCCAACACTCGCCAACACGCATCTTGCTCGCATATGTACCTACAGTCTAGGTATTCCTTTACCTCATTAACTGTTTTTGTTTGTTCATCATAAGGTGCATTCTGGCCACTCTTTGTTCTCTGTATGTAAACTTTACCACAATCAGGACCTTTAGTTACGTATTTAAACAGGTACTTAACAAATATGGTCTTGTTACACCACTCAACATTGATTTGGGCTTGGAATTTTTTCAGCAAAGACACGTTGTATGGTACAACCCAACCACTATCTAGCCGCCGGGTTCCTTTTTGAACATATCTTTTGTTATCAGATCTCCTATAAACAGCAAAGCCACCACCATCAACATTCGTTTCTATTTGGTATTGTTTTGGAAATCTTTTGGAGCACTTACCTTTCTTCATACAGGGACAGGTCTCAAAGCCTGTTCCACACGGGCCATGTACCATGTGCTCAGCAACAAGCGCATATGCTAAAGGATATAGATCAGGATCTGGAATCTCTGCACTTATGAACCTATCAATGAATGCAGGAGTTGGCTGTGAGGTATCCTGAGAGAGCCAAACTATGATATGGGCATGGGGAAGGCCGCGCTTTTGGAACTCAACAGTGTGCAAAACTGAACAAGCGAGCAAGAGAGATGAAGGTAAAATCTAAGCATCTATAGTCAAGCACAACAAACCAACAGACAAGGCACTATAACAAATATACCTGCGCTAATAGGGCCAAAAGCAGCGCCGTTTCTAATGTCGTCAAGAAGCTCTTCAAGCTTCATGTTGTAAACCCGTACCACCATATCTGCTCTGTCCGTCGGTTTCTGACCAGGTTCAAAGGCTATGGCTTCGGAGATCTCTGGCCACTTGGGATTGCACGTGAATGTCACGAAGAAATCTGGGGGCCCAAACACTCTACAAAGAGCAATAGCATCGTGGTAATTCTGGATCATATAACGCCTACCACCAGTATGGGACGCTGGTAGCACGGTTTTCTTGCCAATATCATTTCCATCTACACACCCTCAACCAACTGCATCCACTATATCCTGGAGGCTCTCAACACACAGTTTTTTCTGGTTGTTAATAACGTACCACAGCCTGTTTTCGTCGATAGAAGCGCGCGCATCAATCTTAGCCTGGGTAGATAAATTACCATAGCATAAGAAAGGATTGGCCTGATTCTTCCTATAGTGGAAAGAATGAGAAAAGTAATCTTCAATGGTCATCTTGGTTCTTTTGTTCTTGCCACCGGTAGTAACGCCGCTATACAACACACCTATTTGGAAACCTCGTTCACCATAGGGGAACAAAAGCGGGTACTGCAGGGCATAGATGGGCAACGGGCCGGCCCAGCCTGGCACGGCACGCCGTGCCCTGCGGGCCGTGCCTCTCAGGCACGCGGGCCTGGCCTTCGGCCTAGGCACGGCACTATAAGCACGGTCTTTTTAGCAGGACGGGCCGGCCCGAGGCCCACCAAATGCCAGCAGAGAGAGACAGGGGGTGGGGAGGGGGCGCAGCCACCGTGAGAGGTGGCGGCGGCCGCCCCGCCGGCGCGCTCGCAGCTCACCCCAAGGCACTCGGTGCCAGATCCGCGGGGACGGACAGCGAGCTCGAGGATGCCACACTCACCGAAGATCTGGCCGCAGGGGGCGGAATGGAGCGTTGAGGAGGTGGAGGTCAACGTCGCCGTGGAGGAGGCCGGGCGTGCGGGGGGCGTGGAGCCGAGAGGGGCGCCGCCACCTTCCACTGCGAGGCAGCACCGTAGGAGGGGAGCCGCTGCCGTCGCGCTCGCCAAGGCTTGAGGGAGAAGGAGGCCCGAGAGAGGAGGGGAGCCTCCATCGTGATGCTCAGCCCGGGAGAGAGAGGGGGAATCGAGGGAGGAGGCAGCGCGGTGCTCGCGACTGGGGGAGGCGCGGGGAATGGGAGGCGAGCGAGGCGCGCATTGCGAGTGCGGCACGGCCGCATGGTGGGGAGGGAGGGGGTGGGCTGGGGAAGTTAGGGTTAGGAATAGTATTGGGCTGGGAAATGGGGATTCTTAACAGGCCAGGCACCGGGCCGCCACCGGGCCTCCCTTAAATTGCGGGCCATGCCATGCCAGCCCACGTGCCTGGGGTAAGGCCTAGGCACGGCCTGCTCCCTCGGGCCGTGCCAGCCCAGGCCCGCTGGCCACTGGGCCGGGCCATGCTTGGACCGGGCCAAAAAATGCGGGCCTCGTGCCGGGCTGACGGGCTCGGGCTGCATGCCCATATGTACTGCAGGGCCATGAAGGCAGGATGCAACGAAGAAATCTGTTGTAACTCACCAGACCTAGCCTGAACTACTATATCTCGCTGAAAAGTATCTAGAGTAAAATCTCCAACAACAAGCATGGCGAGCTGATTAGTACTAGGCAGATTATATTGTACCGGATCTCCCTCCCTTGCACCAACGATTCTAATAATGAATTCATCATCATCGTTTCCTGCCAATCTATCCCTTGCTTGTCTAAAACTCTACACCAATGGGTTGTGTTCATCGAGCATTTGAAGCAATTGGCCAACAATCAATGGATCTAGGGGGTCAGAGGTTCTATCATCTGGGTTTAGAGCGTGCAGCCTATTCATCACCTCGTTAGAAGTATCATATATATAGAGTTGTATGAACTTTGGAGGGTCACCATCTCGTGGAAGCAGGGAGCCTATGCGATGGTGAATCTGGCCAGATATCTTAAACACAGGAGGACCACGACCATCTTTCATAGATCTATCTATGTTTGCTCCCATAGAGGTGAAAGCAAACAGACAGTTGTATTGCCTTATATGTTTTATGAACCGCTTGCATCTAGCGTCACCATCGAATCTGACCAGAGAATTAAGTGGCTCATGGCGGTCTTTATAGGGGGGTATGACAACCTTTCCACCCCTGCAACACTTGTTGTAAACGATCTTACCCGCTCTCACATTCGAATCGGATCTAATCCGTTCATGCAGCCAGAAGACCGCGTGACAGTGCCTACACTCATAGGACCTGTTCGGCTGCTATTAAAGCCGACTGAAGCTATTTTGTTGTGAGAGAAAAATACTGTAGATTTTAGCTGATAAGCCGGCTGATAAGTTCAAGCGACATAAAAAGAGCGCCCAAAGTAGGTAGCTAAGCCACAATCATTAGCCATGGAGCACAAAAAGAGCAGGCACAGGACAAAACAGAAACAACGTCAGGACACTGGGCCACACGAAAACGTAACTAATCAGCAAAAAAGTAGAAGACAAAGCAAACCTTTTAACGCATCGATGTACTCCTGCATAAATCGACGACAAAGAAGTTGTTGCCCAGCTTTTGCCAGTTTTCTATGACATATAGAGTAATAAATGAAGTTGGATTCTTAAAAACTAGGGATCCAAACACCCCACCGGTTTTTGTTCAGTTAGATTTTAGAAAAGACAGAAACCAATTTTTAAGAATCCGAAACTAATCCAAACAGCACCATAGTACAGTAGGTGCCAACTGTCCATCGTCCTTTATTTGATGACCATGCTTTCAGCGCCAATATAACATTTACCACATGAACCTCCTCCGGCGCCTACTAGCTACGTCCGTGGACGGAGAAACGCTGGGCCTGCCGGCCGGCGGCCTCGCTGTCCAAGTCATGACCGACGAGCCACGCAGTTACTACGTGGAACTAATAAAGTAAGGAGCCATTTACAGCAAACACATTGGTCTGACGTGCCCCGCATGAGTGAATAAGTATGTTTATTAAGGGTTTGACAGAAAATCAAGAAAAATAAATACACGCCGCCCTCGTGTGTACAGCTTGGAGCTGTTAGCATTCAAAGACGATGTAGAGCTCCAGTGATCGGCTTCGCAATTTTCAAACCACCATGTGTGATGGATATGATGGCAATGGCTAACCGCCTTGTCCTGGAAGAGCTTATAGTAAGCATCAGATCTTTTTGATTCGCGGAGTACACGCGTAGCCGTCAAACTATGTTTCGTTCTTTTGATCACCTTAAAAAACAACAACAATATGTTCATCAGCTTTGTGGTTGGTCGAGTGCTAATAGGTAGCTATGTATGTACAGTGGGTAGGCAGGCCACGCTGCACGCTCTCCCTCCGTTCGTTGCAGGGGTCCTACGCGCGCTCCTGCTACACACGCGTGATCTAATGAAGATCATTGGCCAAATTTTCGATTACTCACACAGGCCACAGCTTCCTCGAGTAGGTAGCAAGCTTTTGCAAACTTTCGGTCCTTTGGCGCCTAGCTACCGGCATAGGAAAACAGTCGACACGACGCATCCACAGTATCGGAAGCTAGGCAGCACCGGATTGGAAGGAATGTGCATGCCTGCAAACAAAAGATTTGATCGAAGAGCTGACGAACAGGCAGGACGAAGCAAGTTGGTAGATGGCAGCTGTGTGGCTACAGCTACAACGACTACAACTACAACGGCCGCCTGTGGTGATCACAAACGAGGGACGACGAGAAGTGTGTGGTGGAGTACATGCGAAGGGACACCTGTGAGCATCGACGTGGTTAGACGGTACGTGCGGTTCACATCAACAGCGGCCAGCGGGTGAGTACCTAGTAGTCGCGGATGTCAACAATCAGGAGTGCTGACAAGTGACGATTGACAAGCGGCCGGGGTGAATAACACACTCCTGTAGTGTCTCCTATAGCATATGCAAGTGATGGACATCATCGACGCCTTCTTTGATGATCTGGCCAGTTGCCAGATGCTCTTAGAACATACTCCCTCTGTCTGTCTTTTAGTGTTTAGAGGATGTCCCAATAAGAATGACGTCCTACACCTGAGCATCACCAGACTGCAACTTTGTAGCCCGCAGCTACTCAGAGCAAGGGCAATGATACCGCCCGCTCGCCGGCGAAATAAACTCTAGCGTGGCTTCCAATTAATGCGGCAGCGGCAGCCATAGCTCTGCAGCAGCGCATGCAGCCAATGCGGAGCGAGCGCAACAGCAGAGCATCGAATGGGAGCACGGGCGCGCGTATACCGCCCGCTTCAAGCCGGCGTTTCGCGAGACGTCCGCTCCGCACTCTCTCTCCTGACGCGTATACCGCCCGCTTCAAGCCGGCGTTTCGCGAGACGTCCGCTCCGCACTCTCTCTCCTTTACTCTCTCCGTCAGCGGGGATTTAGCCGGCTTGCAGCCAGCCATAATACTTGCTCTCATAGTAGCCTACAGTGAACTCATTCAATGACTACGGATAAGGAGAGCAGGAGAACAGACATTACTGGCATAGGGGTGCGTTGGTATTTTTGCTTGAGTCTTGGTAGCCATGTCTGCATGCTAGAAAGACTACAATTCTGAGACGGAGGAAGTAGTGCATAAGGAGAAGCTAGCCCGATGCGAACCACACTGCACCCTCAACTAGCTCGAGCCGGGTGGCCATCGACAGCACCTCTCATCACCTCACTTATATACGAGCAGTGTCCATATAACTCTGGACAGTTGTTTTTGAAGTTTGGACGGTTTTCGTCGGTCGGTCAGTTTTCGTGGATGCATGTGGAAGGAGAAATAGATAGTGAAATATATACAGCCACGCCGTCGTCGTTCGACGTGGGCGAGTGGAGTCTGTTCGAGACTTCGTCTCTTGTCCGTCCCTCGCTACCTCGCTGGGCACTTGGGGCAGTATACGCACAGCACGTCACCTCATGATTAAAAGCAGCGATGCGTTCCGCGGTCCCGGACTCCATCCAGACGCCGCCCGGGAGGCGGGAGAGACGACAACAAGCAGGAGCAGCACCATGCTGTCCGTCCATTCGTCCAATAATAAACCCGTGGACGGCATTGCCCGGCTCCCCCCACACCGTATCCCCCGCGCGGGCGCCCTGCACCGCCGATGCGGCTGGCTAGCGCCCGGACGGAGGGTGGGGATGGCCGGATGGGGATGGGGTTGGAGCATTCAGTATTTCAGCGCGCGCGGCCTGGGCCAAGTGCCAACCACGTTCCCGCGGTGGAGCACAGACTGGGCCGTCATCGTCATCAGTAGCCTCATAAGCTTGCGACTGGCCGGCTCCGTCTATTGTTGTCAGCTTTCGCTGTCCCGTCCGGCGCGGGGTGCGCGACGGGCGGTCGATGCTCGTGCGTGGGCGACGTGTACGTTGTTGCCTTGTTGGCGTGCTATGCTAGTGGCGACGTACGTACGGGAACTAGCGCCGTCTCCCGTGAAAAGGGAACCCGTCTACGTACACTGTATGGGTATATTACATATAGTTAGTATGTGTATG